CATCCCCCCACTCTCTAGTGTTAGCTCCCAGCCAAAGCTGCTCACTAACCAACCCCTCCTGGGTTCTGCAGGTCATGGACTCAGGAGAAAGAATCTGAAAATGAAGAAGATTTCCCCATCAGGAGGTTGCATGTGGTTACAGAAGGGCCAGGGTCACTGGTGGAGTTCAGCAGAGATGCCAAAGAGGTAAGCCCCAGCCTTCTTTGGTTTGGTGTTGCCCTCAGAGAAACCACCACAGAACTCAAGGGGACAGGCCCAGCTACTGAGGGGCATGGGAAAATGAAACAGCAGGGCCTGAATTCCCGACATAGTAACTTGTTTCTGAACCTTGAAGGAGACCCAGGGAAGTGTTGTTTCCTCATGGCCTGGAGCATTGATTCTATCTCCTGTTGGTGTGTGAGGCCCCTGGGATGGCACCACCCCCACTCCGATGAGCAAAGCTCAAATGGGTGACCCATGTGGAGGATAGGATTGTTCTGGGTGAGCCAGCAAAGCCTTGAGGAGCCAGTTCATTAAAATCATGTTGTAGATACACAGCGTGACCAGAGCTACTGTGTCCTTCTGTCTCCAGACCACAACCTGCATGCCTGTGGAGTTCCAAGACTGCAGTGACAGGGATCCATGGAACAAGGCCAGGGGGACCCTGACCAGGTCCAGCCAGATGGAAGAGGCTGAGCAGTATACCCGGACCATCCAGGTGTCCCTGTGCCGAGGTGCCAAGAGGGCAGGCAACCCCAGCACACACTCACACTGCCCCGGCTTGTGTGCCAATCCTAGACACTGGGGAGGCCATGCTGAGAGTCCCCCCAAGAAGAAGTGCACCACAGTCAACCTCACACAGAAATCTGAAACCAAAGACCCTCCTGTCACACCCATGCAAAAACTCATTTCCCTGGTGAGGGAGTGGGACATGGTCAACTGCAAGCAATGGGAATTCCAGCCACTGCCAACCCCTTGGAGCAACTCCACAGAGGAGGCAGCCCTGCAACCTCCCTCAGGAAGTGAGGCTGCTTCCCAACACAGCACTTCAGCTGCCTGGAAAGCCCATTCCACAGCCTCCAAGAAAGACCCCAGTTCACAGTCAGGGGCTGCAGCTGGAGCCAAAGACAAGGGACCAGAGCCAACCTTTAAGTCATACATCCCCATGAAAAGAGCAATCTCCCTGAAGGACTGGAGCAAGCAGAGGCCAAAGGAGAGAGGTGAGTCCTGTTCCATCCTTGGCCTAAGTATCATCTATAACAGAGAAGTCAAACTCCTTGGAGAAGACTACAGGGTGAGTTAATGACAAAATGACTAAACTCCTCCACTCACCAATGTCAGCTCTATGCAGGCAGCAGATACACAGGTGACTGGCACACTGCCATGGCTTGAGGGGCCAGACAATCAGAAGGTGAAGTGATGAGCGCCATGGAGAAGGAGGTGCCTAGGAGGTGGTGGGGGAACAGAGGAGGGTCAGGCTGGGGAGCCAGCAGGGGAAGAGAAGAAAAGGAGTGGGTGTTTGTGGTCCAGCTGGAGGCCAAGCTTCACATGCGGAGTTAACAGGAGACAAGCTGAAACCTAATAGAGAAGGACAGTCTTGTGAGCCACGTTCAGCATATGGCACTTTATCCGGATCCTGAGGGAAGGGGCAGCCACTGAAGGATTTTAAACAAGACAGCAGGAGATGAGGGCAGGCAGCCCTTCGAGGTTTACTCCCTCAGAGGAAACACACCAGGAGGAGGAGAAGCCCCAGAAGCTAAGGCTAGGTAGCAGAGGGGAGGAAGCAGGGACAGACTGGGCCAAGAAAGGGACCAGGTTCTGGCCTGGGTGACTGCAATGAGGGCAAAGTAGACAAGAGAAGGAGTAGGGCTTAGGCACAAGGACACAGTGGATACAGTGAGGGTAAGATGCTGTGGACATCAAGTGGCGCTCAGGAGGTAAGAGGGTCTACAGCACCCAACTGAAGAGAGAGATGTGTGTGTCACAGAGGTAGGGGCATGGCCCAGGGAAATGTGCTGAAAACTGCCCTAATGGCCTGCTGTCTCTGCCCTCTCAGAGTCCTGCCACAATGTTCTGTGGCCCTCCCTTTTGGTGGCTCAGGTCCTGCCTAGAGAGAGGCCTTTGGGGACCTGCAGCTGTGAGTGTCACACTGGTCAAGTGTACTTTTCTGGAGTGGACATGGGCCAAGGGACAGCCAAAAGCACCTGTCATTTTTAGAGGGAAGGTGTCCAGTCCCCAGATGAGTTATTATTGGCCCTGATACAATCTGAGTTCAACAGAGGCCTTGAGAGAGCTCTTGGAGCTCTGAATTCAGGAGGTGACTTGCAGTGGTTCCAGGGCAGTGGAGGCTGGGACAGGAGGCACCTGCCAGTCCAGGGTGCCACTTCCAAGAAGCTGGAGGTGGCAGCAGCTGGAAGAGTGGGGTAACTGACTATTGGTCTATCACTAGAGGTTCCCTCCCTGCTTGGGCTGGGGTGGCTTAAGGAGAGCCCCCTTCCCACATTGTTTTCACAGAAAGCTCTGCCCCTGAGCAGCCTGTGCCTAAGCTCAGTGAAGTGGACAGTGCAGGGGTCATCCTCAAAGTGACCCACCCACCTGTGGTAGGCTGTGATGGCTCCTGCATGTTCTTTGAAGACAGCATCGTGTACACCACACAGATGGACCACCTCAGGCACATGCTGCCCACTGCCAGTGCCCAGCACCAAGGTGAGGTTGCTGGCCACACCTGGCTCTTCACTTCCTGGGGCACTTCAGGGTGGAGTCTCCTAAGGTCCTGGCAATACCAGGTGTGGCCACACCCACTCTCCCTCCTTCCACAGAGGTGACTTTCTTGAGTTTCTCTCTGTCTTGGGAAGAGATGTTTTATGCACAGAAATGTCACCGCTTCCTGACTGACATCATCCTGGATTCCATCAGGCACAAAGATCCCAAAGCAATCACAGCCAAAGTGGTGTCCCTGGCCAACCAGCTATGGGTATGTGTGACAGGCCTCTGGCCCTGGGGCACCCTATACCTTTCTCCACTCTGTCCACCCACAGTAAGTGCTACACGACAAGAGGAAGCAAGCAAGATGAGGTCAGGAAATAAGTCAAGGGCAGAGGAGGAGGAGATGGCAGGGCAACATCCAGAATGACCCTGAGCAAGGGACAGATTTAGAGTAACAATAACCCCCCAGCTCAGGTTCTTACAGACCCAGGCAAGCCCCTTCTTTGCATACCCTCTGAGGGGCTGCAAGCACACGTATGGCCGGCAGCTGGCCCCAGCCCCCTGACTGTGGGCTCTCTCTGCAGACCCTGCACATCAGCCCCAAGCAGTTTGTGGTGGACTTACTGGCCATCCCCGGCTTCAGGGATGACCGGCATACCCAGGAACGCCTGTACAGCTGGGTGGAGGTGAGGACCACCCATACCCTGGGCATGGCAGGCTAAGGAGGGCCCCACCCGCAGTCCAGGCCAGTGCTACTCAGGAGGCTAAGCAGGCAGACAGGCTGCTGGTCCTGGGGAGGGAGACAGGATGGCTGAAATTAACCCATCCAGACTGGTCAAAAATAAGTATTCCAGTCCCTGGGTCTGAGTTTCCCCCAATAACACCAGCTTCCCGTTCATCACTAAAACTATGGCTGCACTTGGGAAAGCAGACATTTTTTGGGTACAGAATCAGTGGACTGGGATTCAGACCTTCCAAAACCACTGCCTCATTTACCTTTTAGCCATGATGTCACCATTTTTTGTCAAATATTCCTTCCTATTTAAGCTGCTTTAATGCATCTTTTAGGAGCTCTGGTAGCGTAGTGCCTAAGGCACTTGACTGCTAACCAGAAGGCTAGTGGTTCAAACCTACCAGCCACTCCTCGAAAAGAAGGTTCGGCAATCTACTTCCATAGAGATACTGCCTCAGAAACCCAAGGAGGGGTCGCTATGAGTCGGGTCTGATTCCACGGCACAGAACAACAACAATGCATCCTTTACAAAGAAAAGGAAAATGTTCAGTAAGGACAAAAGAATGATCAAATTATTTTGTTTTGGATTCCTTAAAATAAATTTAGGGTTTGAAGTTACTTTAACGGTATAGGTGAAAAACAACTTAGCTAAGTGCTGATGCATCTGGCATATTGATAGTTAAATGAATCAGAATACCTTTCACTGTAACTATACTAGTCCTCAATCACTATTAGGTTTCTGGCTTGTCTATTGACTCTAAGGTGAACTCAGCATTGACAGCTGCAAAGTGAAAAACCAGAGACAAAAAACAGGCATTTTGGGGCCCTCTGGTCATTCAGATCAGGACCCTGGTGCCCACTGCTAACCACAGGACTTTGCGATGCCCTTAGGAAAAGCAGCCTGAGAACATCCATGGTCCCAACCCCCTGCTTGCCCCACCCCTGCCCCACGGGAGGACCCCTGCCCCAACCAGAGCTAAGGGGCAAATGGCCAGAAGTCAGGGGTAAAACAAGCCTTTCCTTCCAGCTCACACTGCCTTTCGCCAGGAAATATGGCCGCTGTGTGGAGCTGCTTATCCAGAGGGGCCTGGCTAGGTCTGTCTCCTACTCGATCCTGGGCAAGTACTTACAAGAGGGCTAGAATGCCCAGAGATGTCACCCAACAGGCCCCTCCACTGGTAAAGGCTCATTTGAACTGGGGGTGGCTCCAGAAAGCATGTGTTCTCCAAGGATGCATGTCAGTCTACTTTTTATTATAAACAAATAAAAGAGTGAACACAAGTCAAGGCCTGGACTCCCTCTCTGAGACCTAACAACCAGTGACATAATTTTTGGCAACAATTCTAATGGAAAGCTATTCAAAAGACATTGCATCAAAATAACCAAACTAACTTGGGAAGAAGGGGCTGAGGCTGGGGAGTCAGGGCAGGCAAGGGTAAGGGCCCAACAGGGGTGGACTTGCGCCTAAGTTTGGGAAGCTTAGCTTAAGGCCAGGGGCTGGGAAGCAGCTGCTGAGACCTCACCTGTCCAGGATGCTCCAGCAGCCTAGAGCGTGAAGCATTAGCTCCAGCCTAATCCCAACTCACAACTTGGGACAAGGGCTGGAGAGGGGGACATGAAAGGAGGACACGAGGCAAGGGGCCGGGGATCCAGGTACTTGCTCATGCAATGCAGCCAGACTTTCCCAGAGAGGACCCCCGCAGTCTGTCTAGTGGGCACAGAAATCAGAAAGGGTAGTCTATAAGGGCAGGAGACAGCCCGATCACAGCAGATCTGGAGAGAGGCGATGTTCCCTGGAGCCACAGGCTGTGGGATCCACTGTCCATCTTCGAGCCTGAGCTCAGACCTGTGGTTCCATTTGGGGCTTGAATGCCAGTTTCCGCAGCCAAGTTTTCAGTGGGGTCTCTAGGGAATGGCTTAGGACCACTTGCCTCCAGCTCCACCTAAAGGAAAGGTAGCCAGAGGCCCAGGCTAGGCTGGGGAGGGGATGGTGAGGAAGGGCAAGAGGCACTCACATAGGCCAAGTCCTCTAGGCCTCTGCCTAGGGCCTGTCCTGACACACAGCTGCTGTCGGAACCACTGGAGCCACTGGCTGATGGGCACTGGGATGAGACCTCGGAGTCCTCGGGAGCTAGGGAGGGAGACTGGGTGAGCTGCTGGCAGGGGAGGCCGAGACCCCAGGCCATGCCAGCCTGCTTGTCTAAGTTCACACATACTCAAAGAGGGCTGGTTGCCCAGCTCTGCTTCAGCCTCCAGCACTGCTTCCTCGGGGAAGTTGGTGGGATACAGGGGCCAGCGGAGGCCCAGAAGAGCTGGGTCTCCGTACAGGTGCAGGTTGAGAGGCCCCAATACAGAAGAGGAGGCTGGGTCTCCAGGAAGGGAGTTGGAGGCCCCCAGATAAGGGCTGTCGCAGTCAAGCGGGGCTACAGCAATGGAGGCCCGAGAGCGAACTTCTGCATAAGAGGGAAGGTCTGGTTGGGATAGGCCAGAGCCCAGCCTAGCCTGAGGTCCAAGAGGAGCTCAGGCCAGGATGACAGAGGTCCACACTGCCACCCGAGCAGCTTTCCTGAGCCCCACCCCATAGGCCACCCACTACCTCGGCACTTGAGGACATAGTTGATGGTACGGTCACTGATAGCTTCTTCACTGGGGGAAATGTCCTGGAAGGCCTTGTTCCCCACACCCATGGACACCATCTCAGCCATGCGCACCTCTGGGTAGAGAGCAGGCATAAGGCAAGGCCCCTCTGGACATCAGCTTAGCCCTTGGGCCTCTATCTTCCCTGTTAAACGTGTCTTTTATAGACATCAAGCTGAGTATCTCATCTGCTCTGAACCTTGCTGGTCCCAGGCTTGCTCCTCCCAACCATCCCTTTTAAAGATGAAGCTATTCATAAAGTTAACTTTGTGCCCAGAGTCCGACAAGGTGACAAGAGGACTGCCTGACTGAAATTCTCTACCCTGCTGGCTGCTGCTGGCCTCCTCCCTGCATAGCCCCTGGCGATACTTTCCTAAGCCACCCAGGTACCTGGGCCTTCCCCAGGCTCCTGGGGGACAAGGAAAGCCATCTGGGGAGGGGAGGGGAGGGGAGGGAAGATGCAGGACTAGGGACCCACCCTTATTGTGGACAGCCTGCCTCCAGAGCAGGCGGGAGATGTCAGTTGTCCAGGCCTGTTTGGTGGCCAAGCTGGTGGCCTGCAGCACAAAAGTGTCCCTAGCCTTGCGACGGCGGAACCAGACCTCAAAGCGCAGGTTGTTGTCCCCACAGTTCTCAGTCAAGCCAAGGTCTGCCATCTGTATGGCCAGGGTACAAGGGCTAGCAAAGGCACCGAAGGGCGGGGGCAGGGGCAGGGCAGGGGTAGGGGCAGGGCTGGAGAGCCTACCTTGAAGGAACGCTTATAGGTGAACGTGTCGGTACCTGCAGGCCCTCGGCGAGGCTTGCTGAAAAGCAGCAGCTCCTCAAAGAGAAAGACACGGCGCAGGGCCTTGTGGCGCCCAGCACGCACCGTGAACTCATCCTGTCGCACCAGCTGCCCCTGCTCCTTGAGGTTAACCTGTCAAGGCAGGGCCCGGTGGGTGCCTGGCCCCTTCCCTCCACACCCACTAAACCTGCCCACCAAGGCCTGGGTCCACTCACGTCGCAGCCCTGGATGGCATCCATAGCCAGCAGGTCATTTCCGTGCCGCAGCTGGAAGCGCACGAGGCTCTGGGCCGCCCGCAGGGCACCGAGCTCCTGCCCAGGGCGCTGGGAGGCCCGCGCCAGCTCCTGCAGCAACAGGGCGTACTTGCCCATGCGCTGGATGGGCTTTAGCAGGTACGAGGCCAGGTCCAGGTGGTCCCCCAGTGCTTGCTGCTTATCCTGCCAGGTGAATGGGAAGCCCTCAAGAGGTTCCAGGGTAGCCCCCACCCCCACAGTCCCTGGCTGCCTACCTTGAAGAAGGAGTGGCCATAGCTGGTCATCAGGGCGTCGGAGCGAGGCTTATTCTTGCTGTAGAGTGCATACATCCCAAACTGCACCCTCTGTGGGGACAGCAGCTCAGACCAGGTGCGAGGGGGCCAAGATGCCAACAGACACCTCCCTGGGAAATCCCACCATATTCAGCGTGTATTGCTTCAAAGTGAGGGCAATGTGGCAATAAAGGGAGGGCACATGCCAACAGGGGCTCATCCCCAGGCTCTCTGGGGGAGAAGTCCTGTCCCCGCCTGAGCCTCCTGCGGTCAACGCTGCCCTCTCACAGCTCTGAGGCAACTCTGTGATCTCACCTCGCCTCAGACTCTCTCCCCTGCTCACTCCACTCAACTCTGAAGGTCTGTCTCTCAGCCTTGGGGCCTCCTGCTGGCCTGCCACAGGCTCAGCGCTCATTCCTTCTGAAAGGAACCCTCTTCCTCCAGCTCTCCACACAACCTGGCTCTGCCTCCTCCCTCAGGGCTCAGCTGAAAGACTCCCTCCTCACCTCCTCACCTCCTCTAAGAGGCCTCTCTATGTGCTCCCTGAAGCGGGAACCACTGCCCACCGCTCACTCCCAATCAGATCCTGGTTATTTCCCTCCTAGCCTTGCCTATAGTCTGCAATTATCTTTTTCATTTGTATATTCCTCCTGTAAACTATGAGCACAGAGAGGCAGGGAGCTTGTCTGTCTCTCTCATTCATAACTGTACCCGCCATAGGGTTTGGTACTAAGCATGGGCCTAGCAGCTTGTTGCTGAGCATGACATAATCAGCTACAGGCCATGTGGCCCAGGCTTACGTGGCGCAGGAAGGCATAGGCCACTCGGGACGGATGCTGGGTGCAGGCCTCCAGCTCTTGCAAGAAGAAATGGCGGTGAAAGTCCCGCAGCTTCTCCAGGTTGCCAAAGAGGTGGGCGCGCTGGCCACGGAGGCCTTGGGGCACATTGTGGCGATCCAACTCAGGGAAGTAGTTCTCTACAGTGTAGTCTAGGGCACGGACATATTCCCGCTCCGTGGCCACCATTTCCGCCAGCACCAGTTGCAGCCTACCAGGTAAAAGGAGTTAGGACCCAAGGCTCCACCTTGCCACTGCCCTCCCTGCCCTGCCCACTGCCTGCACCTGTTGGGGCTCCTAAGGTCAGAGCTGCCCGGTGGAGGCACAATGGGGGATGAACCCGGATGGGCAGCACCACCTCCACCCTCTGGTCCACGGCAGGCAGCTACAATGGTGGCCCGGTGGCAGTGGCGGGCAGGCTCATTGAGGCCCTGCCCCAGACTCCGATCAAAGCTGTACGCCTTCCTCAGGGGAGGGGTGGCAGGTGCTGTGGGGACCCTGCTGGCACACACGCTGCTTCTGCTGCCCCTCGGTGGTGCCTTCAGTGCAGCCTCTAGCTTCTGGTCCAGGGCCAGCCAGGTGTCCTGGCACCGCGCCCAGGTCCAGCGGCACTCCTGGCAGATGCCCTCTGACCCTAGCCCTGTGGCCAGAGCCCACATCTTTCGGAAGTGGGCAGGAGGCAGGTCAGGGTGCTTGGTCCAGTGCAGCTGCAGTCGCTGCAGCACGGTCCCTGGGGGCTCCAGATCCAGCTCTGCCAACACCCGCTGGCCTTCCTCAGCCCATGTTGAGGCCTGCAACACCCAGGCCAGACACTGAAGGTGGAGCCCACTGACACTGAGAAGCCCCCTCTGGTCACTCCTCACCGCCAGAGGATGCCAACCCCAGCCCCATCCACGATCCCAGGTGTTGGATTTGGGGGTCACAGTGAAGACAAGGAAAGACAAGAGGTCTGAAGCCAAGGTGGAGCTAGGGTACAGCCACCACTCTGGCCACACTGACCACTTGGAGCCAGGAACAGGGAACCCTCACTCACCTGCTTGAAGAATCCCAACAGCCTCTCAGCATTTGCCAGCCACTGACGCCGCTGGGCCAAAGCCCTGGAGAATTCAGTCAGCTGGACTTGCAGGGCCAGAAAGCGGGCCCCAGAGGAGCCCAGTTCAGCTGCTTCCCAGCCAGCCAGTGGCTGTAGAACCTTCTCCCCTCGCCTGATCTGCTCCTGGGGACAGAGACTGGGCTCAGCTGGCCCAGCCCTGTTGGTCCAGCCCCCAAGCCCACCAACATCTATAGCTATGTTGTCAAGTGCCTCTCTTAGGTTGAAGAACCCACTTCCACCTCAGCCTTCCAGCCCTACCCAGCCGCTTCCACCACCCTTTCTCTCCCTGTTCCTCTCTGCAGCTGAACAGAACTGCCTGTCCTCACCATCACTGCCTAACAACAGAACTGCCTATCCTCACCTTCTTCATCAGCCATTCCAGCCCCACTTCTATTCCAACCTGGCACTTCTCAGGCCTCAGCCCTCTCTCTCTCTGGGGCTCCCCTGACACCTCCCCACTCTCCTGATTCTCCTCATCCTCCTCCGGGGGTTCATCCCAACTCCCCTGGACTTCTGAACACAGCCCACCCTCTCCCAATCTTTGTGTGTGTATGTGTGATTTGGGTGAAAATTTACAAAGCAAATTGTTTTCCATTTAATAATCCCCACAATGTAACAGTACACTTCCCATTTCAGCCTTGTGTTTACTGTTCCCATTCATTTCTCTTGTGTTCTCATTCACTTTATAGGCCTGTCTATCATTTCACTGAGAGCTGAGCCATGGGGGTGAGTTCGGGTCCAGGTTTGAAGGGTGGCTAAGATCCACAGTCTCAGGGGTTCCACCACTCTCTATCAGACCAACAAGCCTCTCCCAGCCAATCCTGTGTGGCCACATGCCCACATCCACCCAAGGATCTCTCCAGCCAAGCCTCTCCTTTGAACTATAGGCCCAGTGCAAGAGGCTCCCTCTCATTCTCTCACAGTCACTTCAAAGGCACACCTGAGCTTGGATTCATAAATCTCCCACCCCTAGAAGGGCCAGTCTCCTGGTCCCTATTCTCAGGAAATGTCATCCACTCGTCCTTACGAACTCCCTCTCCCTTAATGCCTCTCCCAAATGTATCTACCATCAAATCCCATCAGCTCCTCAAATCCATCTCCTCTGCCACCGTCCTGGCTGGAGCAAGCAGCATTTCTGCCTCGCCCGCTGCAATGGTCCCGTCACTGGACTCTTCACATCCATCCTCCCAGTCATCATCAACCCAGAATCATGCCACTCTTCCAAGAATCTCATCATGCGGGTTTCTGGCTCAAACCTTTTTACTACTCTCAGGATACAAAGTCCCACCCACAGAGCCCAGTGATCTGGCCACTGACCACTTCTCCAGCCTCATCTCCCTCCACTCTCCTCCTTCTGCTCTGTACTTCAACCACACTGGCCTTCTTACATCTCCTGAGGCACACCCTACTCCCTCCTGCCACAGGACCTATGCACACGCTGTCTGTAGCCTAAAATGTTCCCTAGCCCTAGCCCTCTTCTGCGTGATTGACACTAAGCTATCCTCTAGAAGAACCAAGATATCAACAGATACCTCCCAAGAAGTGCCCCCACATCCAGCCTGCACTGTTTCAAAGTGGGGGCAATCTTTGAGTCTCAGCTCATAAATACTTTCTCAACAAGAATGTTCACACATTGTGAAGAGCGTAAGCAATGTCACTGGACCAACCTATGTAGAAATTGTTGAACGGGAACCTCAACTGTTGTGTAAAGCATTACCAAAAACACAGTAAAGTATTTTTTTAAGAAGAAAAAAAAAAGACTTTCTCAAGCTAACCCACCACACCCTGCTGGTCAGGCCTTTGCTCCACACTCAGATAAGACCACCTTGAGTCTCTTCCCTCTTCCCTTCCAGAGTTCTTGCTGCAGTCTGCAAACACTTATGAACTGTGAACCCTTGCTTACAACCGATCTTCTCCATCAGACTGTCAGCCCTAAGAGAGCAAGGAGGGATCTGATTGCACCCACCTCTGCATGCCTAGTCCCTGGCGCAGTGCACCAACACCTGAGAATGAACAAGTGACCAAATTCACCTGGGCAGCCTGGTCCAGCTCCTGAAAAGGGCCTTGGGCCTGGAGCAGCATGTCCACCGAGGACTCTTCTCGCTCTTCCAGTGCTGGCCAGCCCACCTGCTGTAGCCACGCTTCAATCTGAAGGAGGGACACAAGCAGAGGAAGGTAAGAGCTGCTGAGGGTGGGACCAGGCTTGAGATCCAGGGTAGGCCCTGCCCCGGCCAGGTAGTTCCCACCTGGTGCAGCGTGCCCTCCTGGGCCTCCAGTGTCTGCACCAGCTCCAGAGCCTGGACTCGCCGGTTGCTCTGCAGAGTCAGTTGGTGCAGCAGCTCATCCACACGGCCATACAGCTCATCAGCCTCATCCAATGCCGGCCTGGTGCAGGACACACGGTCTCAGGGCCCTTGCTCCATCCCATCATGTCCTAAAACCCACAATCCTGGCTGGCTCTGGGCCAGCGGCTGAAGCCTTGGCATTAGATTCTGTGGGCTGGCACCTACCTGTAGTCTGGGCTCAGGGTCACCTCTGGGACTTGCTGCTTCAGCCATGTCAGCTCCAAGGCCCCCTGGCCCTGTAGCCATGTTAGCCGCGGTGAATCAAGTACCTGCTGCATCAAGACCCGTGCCTGCCGTAGCAGCTGGCTGACTTCCTAGGGTTGAGAACGACAGGCAGGGGAGGTGGCCGTGGCAGAGCAGGAGGCAGACAGGGAGCATTCAGGGAGGCTTCGGGAGGAGACACTCACCCCAGACTCCGTGGGCCGGGGAATCACCTTCATGCTCTCCATGGCCCCCTGGAGCAAGGCACAAACCACCTGGCAACTCTGCAGCAGGGCTTCCAGATGCTGTGAGTAGGGGCCAGGCAAGGCCAGAGCAGGGCTCAGTGCAGCTCCCAGGCAGCCTGGATTCCTGGCCTCTGCAGCCAGCTTTGCTCTGCTGAACCCAGCCCAGGAGCAGCTCCTCACTGCCGCAGATTGCCTGCATACCCAGCCCACGCCCTACCCAGTGCACTGACCATCCGAAAGTCTAGCCAGGCCTGGTGACAGTAAGGCAGGCCTCCTCCCAGTGAAGCAGGCAACCCCGTGGTGGGGACACGGCTCAGCAGGCTCTGGTGAGAGGGCAACTGCTCCAGCTGCAGGAGAAGATGGCGACGTGACCCAGGCCTGATGGGAAAGCACCCCACCCCCACCTGTGGCCCACGCCACTCAGTACCTGCAGACCAGAAGGCACCTCCTGTGGCATCTTTCCCCTTAGCAGCACCTGGTGCACAGACCCTGGAGCGGCTTCCTGCAAGGAGTCTGAGCTCAGCCCTACCCCAAAGGAAGAGAAGTGGGGGGAGATGGGACGACTATCCTGTACTCACCTGCAGTTGGCTAAGCCCCCTGAAAAGGGAAGAGGTTGGAGAGCAAATGCGGGCATCCACCAGCGCAGTCAGTCCCAGGGCCTGTACTTCGGGCCTGAAGGGACAGGCTTCATTCAGGACCTAATTCCCAGGCCCTGCCCCTCCAGGTTCCATCTCCCAGCCTTCTCTCTCTACCTGAGGATGCTTCGCAGGTAGAACAGGAGGCGGACAAGCTCCTGACTGCTGCACTTGGGGTGAAGCCAGGCCGGACTGTGAGCAGACAGAAGCAGCACTGCTCGGCCGTCTACATCCCGAGTTCCTGTGGGGAAGAGGCAGTGAACATCCACCCCATGGGGCCACCCCACCTTCACCTCCCCCAGTCCTCTCCATTACCTGGCAGGGTAGCCATGCCACTGGCCAGGAGCTCAAAAGCAAGGTCTTGGGCCAAGAGGCGGTCAGAGGGTGTGAGGGGACTGGATCTGCTGGGATCTTGGGAAGGGACATGGTTGGGTCTACATTGAGTCACCTACCCAGAGGCTTCTCCCCAAACCTATATTTTGGCCTGAGTAGGGTTAGAGCCATTCCAAGTCTCATCACCCAACTCTAGGTACTCTTACTCCCTTCCCAGACTTCCCTGATTCAGCCTCACTTACCTGGCTCCTGCAGCTCCGATAAAGGGTCTCCAAGGTCCACAGGGTCGCTGTTCAACTCCTTGAGGTCTAAGCTGGCTGCCATCACCCTGTCTGGACCTGGGTTCCCTGCCAAGCCTCCCCCTTGGCTGTCACTGCCACCCTCTAGCAGTCTGAGATGGGAAGACATGGGGGATAGGGGGCTCTCCACTCCAGAAGGGGTTGGGTGTTCTGACTGGGCTGAGAAGCTTTCAGATGGGCCCTCCTGGCCACCCCCCGACCCATCTGCAGCCATCACTTCTGGGGGTGACTTAGGCTCTCCGGACAATTCGCTGCCCTGTAGCCTTTTACCCTGAACTTCCCCTGCTGATGGTCTTGGAGTACTGCGGTCCTGAACCTCCATGTTGGGGGTGGGCTCCTCCTCATCCCAGCCATCCATGTAAGTGCACACAGCAAATCTCCAGTCCGTGGCGTGGCCCTGGGAGTCTGCGGATCCATCCCTGTCCTCCAGTGGCGGTTCCATCAACCACTCCCTTCGGGTGGTCCTGCTCCGGACCCAGTGGAAGAGAGGCTAGGCCCTCAGAGTGAACTAAGGCCACAGGTCATCCAGTAACTGGGTTGAAGATGTTCCAGCAGGCCTCAGTGGACAACGCTGGTGGACGCAGGCTGGTCCTGCCTGGTGCGGGGGCCCAGATGGTGCCGAGGACCAGGGGGCGCCGAAACTGCCACGGTTCAGACCTGGGGAGGAGAGAACGCCTCAGAAGTCTCCCTTCTGCCCAGGCCCCGCCGACTGCGCTCAAATAATTGTGTCTCGGTGGGGGCCAACACCCAGGACCACACACTCCTGGCCACACTTGGCAGGCCTATGCCCTATGGCACCCCCAGAACATGGGCGCCGCGCTGCCTCGTGTGCTCGCACTGCCGCCGGCTCCGTCCTGCCCGCGCCTCCGCCTGGGACCCGCGTTCAGCCACGCTCATCAGCCCGCCGTGCTCACGCCGTCGTCGGGACGCGACGCAGGAAACCGCAAAAAGGAAGCCCTCGAACGTACCGAACGTACCGTACCGCCGCAGCCTCGACGGAGGGTTTAGTGCGGCCCGTGCGGCGTCCAAGGGCGCCGCCTCCTGGCCGCGGAGGAAGGGACGCGCGGCCGCAGATACGCCGCGCCGCGCCGCCCCCTGGAGGCGGGAGGACAGAGACGCAGCCCACCCGGCAGTCCCGACGGCAGACTCCAGCGGCGAGAGAACAGCAGGGCGCCGGCTCCCGCAGCGCCGCTGCCCGCCGGCCCCCGCCGGCCCTCCGCCCCCGCGGGCCCAGATGGCTCTGCTCTACCGCCCCGCCGGGCCCGCCGACTTTCCATGTCCAACCTTGGCTTGTCTGTTGCCGGCAAGAGGCAGCGACCAACGGCCGTGCCTACTCCCCGGGTCTGGCCAAAGCGCTGGAAGCGGTCATTTTCTGGGGAAGGCAGTGTAGGGGCGTGATGGTGAGTGAGCTTGTGGTCCGCCTGGGATGGGGGGAAGGAACTTGCAGGGGCTTCTGCTCTTGAATGCACGCCGGGGAAGGCTTTATTGTGGGGGTTGGGAGGCTATTTGCTTGCCCACCGGGCCGGGGCAGCCTGCCAGCCTCCCTCAGTGAGACAAGGACGGCTAAAACCCTCCTGTTTTCTCCGGGGCCCCCAAATCAGACCCAAAGAAGAAAATGTGTGCCTAGGGTTCCTGGGAAGCCCCTAAAATGAGACTCGCGGAGTCCAGACTAGCTGCTTGGGGCTGCCGGGAGCCTGTAGGAGCATCTTCGTGGAGGGCAGGGATGACAGCAGTCCCCACCTTCCTTCCAGTCCCCAGGTGGAGGACCGTGAAACAGGTTATATGATTGCATGCTGGGATGGGGGCAGATGGAGGGGCAGGGAGGTCTCTGAGGTGGCAGCTGACCCAGGCCTGCCAGAAGCCACCAGGCTGGACCCTCCACCTCCTTGCATTTCCTAACTCTTTCACTGCCCCCAATGGTGTTGAAGTAAGGGTCCTGGAGCCAGAGAGACTAGGGCAGCCCCTGCTCCTCCACTTACCTGCTGCAGGAGCTCCAGCAACACTCTTCTCTTTGAGCCTCACCTATAAAAGAAGAAAGTCATTCCTTCCTCCTGGGTTTGCCACAAAGACATCTCCAGTGTCTGTTCGCTCACTGCCAGCGCCGGGCTGTGTGCATGCTCTGCCTCTCATTTGCCCTCAGTCAAGGGGTCCTGTTGTCGTGAAAGTCACTTAGATAAAAATGACTTGTGAGATCCCTCCCAGCTCTAAAGTTTGGGATCCTTTTGTGGCATGTGGGCCTGGCCTGACACTCCCCAAAATTTGTGGGAAGATGTGGAAAAGTTGCTTCTGTGGCCAGAAGAAGGTGCTGTGCCCCATAGAATGTCCGGTCCTGGCAGAACCAGGCCGGGGAGGAGGTGACAGAGGAGGTAATGGCTTCCTTGGCTCTAAGGCAGCCCCTCCTTCATGACCTCAGGGAGGCTACTGGAGGAGGGAACCTAAGCATCCAGAGCAGGCACAATGGGGCCAACGGCAGCCCCCCACCCACCTCAGCTACCATATCAGCATATAGGGTCCAGGCTCCCAGACACACTACCAAGAAGCCTCCCTCATGAGCTGGTTTGGCTTCGAGAAAGGAGCCTTGGAGTTGTCCTGTCCCAACCCAACCCCCAGCCTGACTGTCCTTACCCTCTAAGCTACAATAAGCAGTTGGACCAACCTTGGCCCCTCCCCAGCTCTGTCCTAGGTCCACCCCCACTGAGTCACTGTCTCCTGCTCCCTCCCTCCCCTCCGATGCTTACTGTCTCTGCCCACCCACCAACCAGGCCCCCAGGAGCCCTAAGAGCTGACAGGCATCCACACACCCCTCCCAGTGCCAGAGGCAAAGAAGGGACCTCAAGCCACAGGCCATAGCTGATCCACAGAGACACTGAGACAAAGGCAGGGACAGGCCCTGGTTCATGCTTCATGACAACGATATGTTGTCCATGACTATTCTTCAGCACCCAGCACAGGGCCTGGCCCAGAATCAATGCTCAGGGGTGACTTAGACCCGTCGCACCCCTCTGCCCTCCAGAGGCTCCCATCTGTGAGCTAAGATGTAAAGCAGAGTCACAAAAGGACGGACGTGGTTTCAGAGGCAGAGTTACAGGACGCACAGCCCTGGGACGGCAAAACTACAAATAGAAATGCAGACGGGCAGGCTGAGGCCGGGTGGGGAGCGCTGGGGGACCAGGTCTGAGCTGGCCGGGCCAGGCAGCCGACCACAGCAGGCTCTGTGGGCTGAGCTTGCAGGACTGAGGAGTGACTCATGGGACCCATCTCTGTGGCTCTCCTGGCAGCAGAATTAACACACAGCAGCCTTTTCCACTGAGCTCATACAGGGAGACCAGCCTCCCTCCCCTGCCCCTTCCCCAAACCTCCCTCAGCCTCCCTGTCCTTGGCAACATGAATCAACTGAAAATAAAATAGGGGCTCTGTGCCTGTGGGCCTAGTGATGAGACTCTAGGATCCCTCACCCTAGCCCAAACCTTGCACACCCCTTTTCTATATGTCCCAAACAGTGACAGTGACAAATACCTCAGACCTTCCAGTTCTCTCTCACCTTTGGCCTAACTCAAGTCCAGTCTCTTCAGTATGGCATTCAAGGCCAGCCAGAGGCATCGCAGCCTTCCTTTCCAGCACCCAACAGTTGTCTTGGCAAACTGTTATCTAATTACAAGTCTTGACTGACACTGCCTCATCCTGGAATGCCCACACCCATCTCCGCTGGTCAGAATCTTTCCTGTTCAAGGCCTGGAGGCAGCACCGTCTTCCCCAGCCATCCTAGCTACTGGAGACAGCCCCACTACCCCGTCTCAGCTCGGGCATCACTGAAGGCCATCTCTCCCATCCTGCCCAGTCAGGTGGTGACCCAGAGATGATCTTGTTCACTCTCCTGCCTCCCAGACACCCGTGCTCATCTGCCTTCCTCCCCAGTCTGCTCAGCCCTGACCAGCCCTATCTGCCCAGCAGCCTCCAGTGATTTGGACACTAAAGTCTGAGAATGGCGGTCCGGCAGCACCACTCTTCCAGCTCCAACCTCTTCATGTCCCCTGGGTGCCTGGAGCAGCCTTCCAGCAGGTCTTCTGTCTCCAGCCTTGCTCTCTAGCAAAGCTCTCCTCCTGGGATTCTGTACCTTTTCCACCTGGCACGAGCAATACTTGAGCTCCTTAAAGCACTTTGCTGCCTTCACCACTCCCAGCTCAGTCTGCCATCTCCAGTACTCAGCAGTAGATCCTGCATCTACCCAGCCATGGCTTTGTGTTCCTAGCTGGCCCCTCCCAGCCACAGCTCCCACTACTTGCTTTTCACCACAGGTGCTCTGGGCATCCTTTGGTTAGGCCATACTGTCTGCCTGGAATGCAGCCATGCAGATTTTGCCTGTGTCCAAGGTCATACACACACACATCTAACTCCTCCAGAAGCCTGCCCAGACCCTCTCAGCTCTCCTCAGGGGCCCACAGCACCTTGCGTGCACCTTTGCCATGCCATGTTAGACCAATATGACAACCATTCATGATCCCTTACCTTGGGCCAGAAGGAGGCTGTGGTGGTTTAGTGGGTAAGGCATTTGGCTGCTAACCAGGTCGGTGGTTCAAACAAACCCACCAGCTGCTCTATGGGACGATGAGGCAATCTATTTCTGTAAAGATTTTTAGCTCTGGAAACCCAATGGGGGTCACTATGAGTCAGAATCAACTTGATGACTGGGTTTGACCATGGGCCAGTCCCTGTACTAGATCCCTCCCTGCTTTACCACTGACAGCAACTTTATGGAGTAATGTCTCATTTTAAAGATGAGAACAGTGAAGCCCAAAGAGCTTATGGAATATCCCTGAGATGACATAGCTGGTGAGTGACAGGTAGGACTGTAACTCCAAACTGTTAACTACTAGGCCTGTTGTTATTGTTGTTTGCCGTCGAGTCGGCACCGACTCATAGCAACCCCTCCTTGGGTTTCCGAGGCAGTATCACTACAGAAGTAGGATTGCCCTACCTTCCTTCCGAGGAGTGGCTGGTGGGTTTGAACCGCCAGCCTTCTGGTGAGCAGCGAAGTGCCTTAGGCACTATGCTACCAGAGCTCCTACTACTAGGCCTAATCACTGCCAATTAAACTCCTTAAGGGCAAAGCCTAACTCACTTCTCCTCCTGTTTTCTCAGTACATAGCACAGACACGTTGGGTGATAAAACTGGTAACCTTCTCAGTGTGCCAAGTCTTTCAGGTCTACAGAGTAGGTTAACGGTAACCTGGGGCTGGGGAAGGTCGGGGAGAAAGATTGACTGCTAATGGATATGAGTGTATTTTGGGGATGATGAAAATGTTCTAGAACTTAGACTGTGTAAGGCGTGCACAACTTTGTGAATAGACTGAAAACCACTGAACTGTATGTATACTTTAAATGGGTGAATTTTATGGTATGTGAGTTTAATCTCAATAAAGATTAAAATTTAAAAAAAAAAGT